TATAATTATATAGCTCAACATCCGGTAATCCTATAGGTATACATAAACTCTTTTTTTCTAGGTATAGGAGAAAAAAGCGTAATTAATTTCGATTTGAAAAAATATTTTTTATAGTATATATAATCTAAAGAACTGTTCATAACCTACCCAATCTACAATAACATTAGATCATGTCAGCTATCGTAACTAAAATTGTTGAAAAATACAATCTCAGCTCTACGATGAGTATGACTGATCTCAGTCAATACACCTCAGAGTTTCTCGAGAATCTAACTGATAATAAAAAGTGGAATCAGGCACGCAGACACCTTCGGAATAGTTTTAACTTTAGGAGTAAACAGGTAGGTGTATTAATACCTAATTAGAGGGGTGGGAAAAATAAAACTATAAATATTGTCGAAGGTAATTGTAGAATAGTTATAGCATCACCCCAAAAAATCTGGAAGAAAAAATTATTAGAGAGATAGCAAAATGAATCTTATAAAATAGATATAGGTTTAGTGAAGATCAAGTAAATGCCTTATTCTCGATCCAGAAAAATGGAAGTAGCCACAGTGTAACTACCTCAGATAAAAATGTAAATATTGCAATTTCCAACAAACCCTCAAAAGGAATGGAGGAAGAAACTATTAGAGATATGGCGCAACAGATTTTACAAGATGAACTTAGCATTAGAGATGTGAGAGCTGAAGCTTATGCCTTAGCCTTATCGGCATTAAATGCTAATGCTGGCTCATCATGTCTTACTCATCTTCGTAGAGAATTAAGGAACCTTAATACATCATTTGAGATAATCGAGGCTACGAAATTTTCAGATATTACAGAAGATGCCGACAAAATCCAAAGTGTCAATCAGAAAAAGGCTAAAACTAAACGTATTAATTATTCAGATGAATTTACATTAGAATTGGTCAAAGAAAGATTAGATGGGTATGATTTAAAAACTTCACCTGATTTACAAACCCTCACAGATATTATGATAATGCTTTGTATTTGCCTTGCTGAACTTATAACTTTATGTATTACAGATGCTGGAGTGATGGGTTATGTGAAGAATCAAGGCCAGCCAGATATTCCTAGAAAATTTAGATCTATAGAAAAGAATCAAGAACGAGCCAAAGAACTACTCACTTGGATTCAGCGTGCTATATCATCTGGACGAATGGGTGATCCAGGTAAGCCAGAAGATAAATAGTTCAATAGATTCTTAAAAGATTATGATTTAATTCCCAAATACTTATGAAAAATAGGTGCTGTTTATGGTGTGGTAGTACATGAGGCTAAGAATATAGCCTATGTTTATACTATTGCTGGAGAATGTTTACGTCACAACCCTGACAACTATACTTCTCTAGTACAGAATTATGTTGTAGTGAATTATTGCAGAAAAAATTAATCTCCAGAGCAAGCAAGACTATTCCAGATCTATGATAAAGACTAATCATGCTTCTTTGCTTTCACTATTTTCACAGTAAAATCTTTATCATCATTGCCAGAGGCAGTCACTTCGTGGCTAGATGATTCAGACCCAGATGAGGACTCAGATGCTGTATCATTAAAAATTAGTTTTTTTCTATCTTTGTATTTTCTTTTAGCCTCCAGCTAATTTCAAACAAAGAATTTTTATTTGCTGTGATGTATATATATCTGTGATAATTTTCCTTGTTTTACTTTTGATTCTAGACATGGGCACTGATTGTTGCTAGCCAATTTTTTGACAAAAATCTCATGCAATTGCTGAAGAGAGACATTCGGAAATAATGGTAGACCCTCACCAGTAAACCAAAATTTCTTTACTCTACTATTGATGAATTTCTGTATTAACACACTTGGAACATCTTCTAAGGGACCATGAAATTCTTCAAACTTTCGAAGGTACACTCTTATGTTTTATCAGCTTCTTCTGCCATTTCTTGATTAGTGTAACTGACAATACCAAGTTCTTCCTGAATTGTCATTATATCGTCTTCTAAGCATAAAAGCAAATCAAATAATCTAATTAGTTTATCTGAAGAGGCTTTATTCCTTCTAAGTTCTGCTTCTAAAATGGGATTGATATCTATACCAAGTTTTATCTGTATAGGTATTAAATTCCTCACCAATTCTAACAGCAATTCATATGAATCGGCAAGTTCTTTCACTTTCTTACTCTCTGACACTGCTGTTTGATTTATATTATTGTTAATACCAAGTTTTTTCTGAATAGCTGTTATATCTTTTTTCTTATATAAAAGCACCTCGTATAATTGAGGAAAATTTTCACTTGAATCAGTATTATTATTAGTATTACTTGTCATGATTGTTATAATATGGTAATATAATTAATGCGAAAAAATATATAAATTAAGTAAATATAGCAAATTCAATCTGAAAATAATTATAACCACATCGTAACTTCGAAATCACATGACGTTATAGGGCAAAGCCCATTGCAAAGCAATAATGAGCCTCAGTAGAGCAATGTCATGTGTTTTATATCAAAGAAATGGCTCTTCGAGCCTAAATCCACGAATCAGAGATTAGCATAGAAGTATTTCGGTACTAACCAACTCACTAACTGCACTTATTGCAGAGCAATGATCCTTTGGGTCTACCCTTAAGCTAAATTATTTATCCACGATTGCCAGCGAAGATCGAGCGATGATTCTTTGGATCGAGTCTTTGACTCTCCTGGCCCATACTAAATAATTCGTGAATGAACGGATCGCTAAACCCGAAATGAGATTTCATAAAATCTGCAAATTGGTTTGTTAATAACAGGAAGTATATTATATAATAGGATAAGTGAATTATAAATTGCAGAGACTTATCTAGTCAAAATTCAGATAATTATATTGATTTGGATATTATATCCGTTTACTTTTATCTAACAAATAATCCTGGGCAGTAAAAAATAATATAATCAGGTAAGTATGAAATAATAAGAAAAATTTTCATCATTAACCAACTCACCGTAACCTATACTATGAGTAATGAACCACTTAGCGAAGGAGAACTTACCAAAAAATACCCCAAACGAGAAGAATTATTGAAAGCCTTAGGAATAAATATCTTAAGAGGTCATTCAAACTCTCTCGCAAGTAATATCACAATACCGAAGCTAGAGAATTGCCATGAATGTAATGAAGAAATTTTGTTAAATCCACCCAAAGCATTTACCACGTTCGTGTGTGGTCATATACTCCATCATGACTGTCTTGAAAAAAGTAATAGAGATAAGCAAAAAACTTGTCCCATTTGTTTCGTAGATAATGAAGGAAT